GTTGTGTGTGTGTGTGTGTGTGTGTGTGTGTGTGTGTGTGTGTGTGTGTGTGTGTGTGTGTGTGTGTATGTGTGTGTTTACTGATATTATCGAGCATATCTAACCTGCCTCATGCAAATTTCTATGGTTCTCGGCGGTATTTTGCACAAAAGAGTACTTTTCCCCATTAATAAATGCTTGATGTGATTTATTTTATACATTTGGCATTGGAATATAGAGACTAGGCTTAGCACTCGAAGAATCCGCTCGTGAACCGAGTATTTCACGAGTTGGCCACCTGGCAATTGCCTCGGAAGGAAGCCTTAAGTATGCAACATTTGTGCTCAATACAGTTCTTTCCAGTACAATTGAGGATGAAGCGGCATCTGCTATGCTGGACGTCCTTATCATATTGTGTAAGTATTAGGAAAATTCATACAACAAATCCATTGTGAACCAGCTATATTTGAAACAATATCTACTTTTTTGCTCTGTAATTTCGTAACTGGATAGTGAGTTGGCTCGATAATTTTTATCTCACCACCTGACCCCTGCATATCATTCTTTTTTATCAGGCGAAGATGAGGGGTTGGTTCCGGTCAATGCCGATGAAGCAATTGTAAATCACTTAGTTAATGGAAATACATCCGATGATATGGCTTACAAGGTGCGCAAAGCTGCTTCGGTGACTTTTACAGGACATGTGTCAACGTTTGCACTGTACGACGCAATCTGCGATTTCCTCATCATTCTTAATTTAATGCTCACTGCAGCTGCTACGTTACTTCAGAGCTAGCTCATATCAACGCAACACACGTGATATCGAAGACAGTGCCGGCGAGGTCGATCAAGGCGAATATCTTCCCGAAAAAAAGCTAGTGGACAGCTTAGTTGCATCTTTGTAGGTTGAATCTATTTAGCATGGTTACAGAGATTTTGGATGGTGGTTGTGTGCGTCAAAATCTTCAGTTATGTGGAACTCGGGGATGCAACACGACTTTGATGTCATAGTATCTTCTATTTAAACATCTTCTATCATTTACAGGTTACAACGGTCTGCTTCCGATACCACTCTAATTCTGAACGCACTGTACAATATAGTCGTCGGCAACAGCGAAGAATGTGTATGTGTTGTGCTTTCCCATTTCCCCTTCGACTCTGGCGTTCCTTCTCTATGTTTATGCGAGGTTCTAAATTCTATGCAATTATGTCGATCATCAATTGGCTGCTTCCTTCTTACCGTAGAATCGTATATGTGAAGTGGGTGGAAAACCACTGTTTGTGGAGCTGATCAGACTGGTCTCCGAAGATAACGTGGCGATAAAGCGATCTTCGCTTCTACTTCTGCTTGTTCTTTCTTCTAATAGGATTGGCCCTAAGGTATATGCGCATGAATAAGCTGTTTCCTGCATGCTTTGGTTGATATACAGCGTACATATACGTTTTAAGCGACAGCGTCATTGAATTGCTTGATGTATATCAGTTATTCCCAGAGCAAAACATCATGAACGCCTTCCGGCTCGCGATGGCTATCAATGGTCTTGATTCCTGGACCGCGTTGTACTCTCTAGATCTGGCCAGCGTGATATTGTCAACGCCATGGACTGTTGCGAGACTTGATGGCATCGAGTGGTATGTTCCTTCGAAATCATTTTAGTTTGGTAGCACCTCGATAAACGAAACGTATTCCGCTTCGGGCTGACCAACTTTAACATCGCAGTCGCATTTGGGTATACAGAGCCTGACAACTGATTTGGTTTTATCTCAGTAAGGAAATTATGTTACAACAGATACCGGTTATGCTGCGACTGCTTGGGAATCTACAGTTCGGTTTACGCAACATCATACAGGTATTGTGCGGCGTATTTTGGTGCAAGCTACATTTTTTAAGAACCCGAAACGCTATACTTGAACCTGCCTCGTCACTAGATTGTTGGACGAAAAATGCTATCCATTTCACTCGACTGACGATTTGTATGCAATGCGCCGCAACGCTCAGTCTTCTTCGTAAAACTGGCACTACTTCCGGAGCTTAATTTGTTGGCTATCGCTCTCCGCTTTGCGAAGCTTTCACAGTTGTGGAGTGTATTAAATGCAATGCCGGAGCGAAATTATCTTAAACATGCATTGGCTGGTGTGGCTGAGGCAGATACGCTAGGCGATGTTCTAGATGTAACATCTGCCATCGCGCGTAAGTCGTATGCAACACCGGGCCTGCCCAGTTTGGGCTGGGAGACTCTCACCAAATTGTCCAGCTTGCATTGGGTGATAGCTAAGTGTCGCTCTGCTGCTTTAAAGAAGGCGGCGCCAAATGAATCCCGCTTGATGTTACTTGACGCGAATACCTCGGACTATGAAGTTGGGCAGTTGAATGGTGAGCGAACCCTGACGTTTTATTCTAAAGCGCGCATCGCATCGAATTCGTGGACATCACGCTTGATTTAAAAATTTAGTCGTTGCTCTCGAGACATTTTCTTCTTCTCGTGTATGTCCATTTCGCATTGCAGATTCTAATGCCACCAACGCGATATCCGAAGGTGTTTCACTCGCCGTTGCCATCACCCCAAGCAGATTTCAAGCGGGGATCGAAAACAGTGAGCGAACTCGATTAGAGTTGGAGCTAGAGCTCGTCAAGCTTAAGGTGTGCCATTGTACTCAGACCCCGATTTTTTCCTTGCTCATTTTTTTTCTTCAGCACTAACCCAATTCTACTATCCGCCATCCACCAGCTCGGGAACCTACAATTGCAGAATACAGAACTCAAAAACGAAGCCGCGTTAGCACAGGGATACAAACAAAGTCATAGTGAGCAGGTATTCGGGTGTCATTATGTAGTGATACCTCTCCAAGTGACGGTTTTATACACTCGTGTCTAGTCGGTCCGATTGTTATTTCCTTGAACCGTAGAATAATAAATACCTACTTTTCCTGTTGCCATCACCCAATCATGCTCGCGACAAGACTGAGAGACTGAATCAAGCCATAGAACGATTACTACTGAAAAATTCTGAAGTTTCCGAAACTCGGATCGAGTGTCAAGATCTAGCTGGGCGCTTGGCTTCATTGCAGGCACTGCATGAGGGGTATGTACCTGCTCCTGTCTCGTTTCGCACTCGATTAATATAGTGATGTTGTTATTTGCTAGTTTGAAAGGGTGCATCGAAGTTTAGAATTGTTCCTTTTGTTGTACAGTACGCTGACAGAGCTTTGCAAAGCGCGCCGAAGAGAATGTCATATACGAGAAGAACTGAAAATGTCTTCAGCGACTGTGAATAGGCTCACATCCGCTATAGAGATACAGGCATGTAAGTTGAGAAAACTTGCGGATGTACAGACTGAGAATGATCGCCTGATAGCAGCAATAAATGAGTCCAGTGCTCTGGGTAAACGCTTTGCTCAAGAGTTGGAGACTTGCAAAGCGGATGCGGCACAAAAAGAAAAAGTTTTGCAGTCTAATTATGATACTCTAGTGGGGAGCAAACAGGAATCTGAAGTGCTGTTACAGAAAGCCGAGGATCGCCTGAAGCAGAAGTGCCTCACAATCAACGAGCTTGGTGAAGAGCTGGCCAGTATACGCGTGATGTCCTCTAAGCTTGAACTGCAGATAAGGCATGCTATTGTGCACGGAGAAACTCTCCAAGCCGAATCTGAGGACATGAAGTTACGGGCAGACACGCTTGAATTGGAGCTTCAAGAACTGAGGAAATTCAAAGCCTTCATACATAACTTCTCTGGGGGCTCGTACAGGAATGCATCCGCAGTGAATTCGATCGTTGACCACTCGGAAAATCAGGAAAATTGCAATCCGGAGATGCAGCGGCCAAAGTCCAAGCCTGGAATGAATTCATCTATTGTTTCGCAGCAGACAGGGATTGGGGACAATAATTTTCAACACTGAATGGTTGGAGAAACGATGACCGCTATTATAAACATAAAGCATCTTTCGGTTGGACCCTTTGCCATTATTGAAGGTACTTTCAAACAATCGGCACATCGTACGCGGCAATTAGCAGTGTAATGGTGATCAAGAACAGCATTTGTCTAAGCACTATGAAAATTTCTCGGAATCAGACTCTTTTACTGAGCTCTACAGTCTAAATCAGACTCTTTTATAGTATACTGAGCTCTACAGTCTATTCATTGACTAGCACTCGAATTTAAAAATTGCATTCAATATTTACTTCCCTACATTTCTCATTGTGTCCACTTTGTTTATGCACAGTACATATTCTTTGCAAATGCGGCAAATGATGTTTTCGGGGATAGGTTTTGTACGTAGCTCTCATCTACTCTTAGTACATGTTCCTTCGAAAGTATACTATACATGCAAAAATACTCTAGATGGTGATTCTGCTTGAGGCTGCCGCCCCATTTGGTATCGTTGGCATAGATGCAGTTACATAGCTATACTTGCACCTTCATTGATCCATCATGCTTGCCTTTATCGCGGCTTCCAATTCTGCGGCCTCTCTGATTAGGTGACGGCCAAAGAATCAGTAATGAATACGACAGAAATTATTTCTCGTATATGGATGATAATTTGATCCATTTCTCATGCGGAATATCAAATCTGATAGAATGGAAAACGTTAACTCAACTCGGAGTATAAAGTGATACCTTTCAGCAGGAGACATCTCCTTCTGACTCTGCTCCATCGCTAGTTGAAGCTGGTCGGAATCAGTTAAGCCCAATGGTTGTGGTGGCTGATCCTGATTACCAGTCGCAGGTTGCTCTGCTGGGGTGACGTTCGATTCCAGGGGCTAAACGATAGCAAATGTACACAAGGCAAGTAAAATTAATCATATGCGGTATTTTGTTTCGATGAACAGCTACTACACGTAGCGATGACATGCGAAGAATTGCAGATTCTAAGACATCTCAGCTGATGAAGCACTTCACATACCTCTGCATCTGCGAAGTACGGTGGCGGATCGTAGGTCGGAATTGACTGCTTTTGTTTTAATTTGTTTCTTTTGCCGGATCCTGTTGAAAGCCGAATAGAAACTCTTAGCGTATATAGACTTTAAATTGTACAAAGTAGAGACCGTGCGCCAGTCATAGTGAACCCCACTTCTTAAAACGATTACGAATGCACATGCACAAGCTCGAGGCATACCTGGAGATCGGCCAGGCGACTTTTTGCTTGTAACATCCGATGGTAATGGGATGGAGGAGCTCGGACCTACAACTTTCTGTGTCATGAGTAAAAACCACTTGTCAGTTGGCATGGTCCTAATTTCGAAACCAGCAAAGGTAGAATGAATGCTTCACGCAAAACTCCCCCCCCCCCCATTTACTACACAACAACAAGAAGGTGTCGAAGAAGTGCTGAGCTTGATACCTTATCCGTACAGGGGAACGGTACAGATTCTACAGCGGACCCCAAGGAGTCGTTGTCATCCGTTGCCACGATCTGAGGAACAGTGCTAGTGTCTTGACTCGACGATCCAAAAAGGTATGTATCAGCAGAGTTTGCGATATCGTCACCTTTCGCGGGTGATTCACCTATTTCACTCTCATTTTGATTCTGTGGGGTAGAATCGTCAGCTGAAGGCACATTCTCCGATGGACTGCTCCCAGGCATGTCGACCCCAAATGGATCGCCATGACTAGCCGAAGTAGTATCAGGTGGTGCGGTAAAGGCAGCGAATGGGTCGTCATTTGGATTGAAACTTGAATTGCCCGATACATCACCGAAAGGGTCGCCGAATGCTGACACTGACATATCACGTTCGTTTCCTGCCGAGTAGCGAGGATAGGGTTCCAGCATTTGAAAAAGTTTGTTAGTTGTAAGACGATAAGGTTGAGACTTACTGAGGAAGAGCGAACCAATATCAGATACTCATTCAAAACGAAACGAGCACAGATAGGTTGCGGCGACGCACTCACCATTCGGAAGATCATCGAAAGTATCCATACCGGTTGTCTCGTTACCCTCTGCTGTTTAAATCGTATCGTTGCAAGTCGAAAAATGAGAAAAGATTTAGAAAGAATCTCACAATTCTGAATCAAAAGCAACAAATGGCCTGGGATGGAAGTGCAATAGAAGTAATGTGCCTTTAAATACCGAAAGGATCTAGGCTCGCTTTTGAAGGTCTCGCTGATGGGAACTCGTCTTCATCCCCTATTGGAAAACATTAATTATGCTTTAATACGTAGAAACTCACTTTAGGCAGCAATTAATGTAGTGCTTAAGCGCATTCTATAACTCAAATCATTGGACCACATACCGAATGGGTCATCCTCATTGGACCCAGCGAATGGGTCATTGTCATCCTCATCGAATGGGTTATCAGATGCGTTGTCGTTTCCAAACGAGCCATATTCGGTGACACCCGATGCTGTTCCGATAGGCATGAATATATTTGAGTAATATGTTGCGCAGAATATGATCTAGTCGAGCACCCCAAAAACCTCGATATGGCAACCATTGCAAACAACTAGCGAGAGACCAAGAATCAACTGTGTTCAATGCCACCTTGAAAATGTCTGGGGCACACGTATTTTCCGCTACTATAAGACTGCATTTGAGCTAAAGCATCCATCTTGCGCATTTAAAAGTGCAATATTTCGCTTATCGTTAGTAAGGGGTATACAACCTTATGTGCTCTAGCTAATCTTTCCAGCCACTTAGGTGACTGAGCCTTTCCAGACACTTTTTTTACAAGGGGTTGTAATACACTCTTCCTCAGCCTATTCAGTATTGTAAAAAAAAATACGGCGTGCACCTTTGCATGGTTTGTGCACAAATATTGATCAACGTGTGGGAAAAAATCAAGGTACATCAAGGTACACAGCTTGCAACAGGCTGACATATATCTGTAGCATACCTCTCCGCGAGTTCGCACCGTTTTTAAGGCTCTCTTCCTCGACAGCAAAATGATCGCTGGTAATTTCGTCAACGCTGCCTGGAATCATCGCGTTGCTAGAACCATCGTCATCGCTTGCAAACAGGTCGTGCCTGTCAGTATTGTGGTTTTCATCTGCAACATTCTCGACTACTGTTGACGAAATTGATTGACGAGAGATGTGCACATATGAGAATTATGCAATACGAGTATTTCGTTTGTAAAATCATTAGGCACATTTTCCAGAGAATATAGTTTTGTGTTTACATCGATTACCACTATATATATATCTTCTTACATGTGAGTCACGACTTCGAGGATAGTCTCGGGTCAGCGTCGGTTATGCAAGTATCACATATAATTTTACACGTACGGTCACGAGCAGACTGGCATATTGCTGATCATACCAGCAGGAGTGTTCGGGCTGTTGCTAGAGCTTCTTTCTTCTATAGCGAAGGGATCTTTGGATGATTCGTCAACATGGTCATCAGAACCTGTGTTTATCTCGCTCGTGGCTTTGTCAGCACACACGTCATCACTTGCGAACGGATCGTGGGTGTCGGTAATGAAGGTTTCATCCGCATCTTTTTTACCTGATTCTATATGGATATGTTCGAGAGAAAAAAAACGTATATATCAACAACTATGCAACATATTTGCAGCATAATGTAAGTCGCATTTTCAAGCAATGAACACTAATCTACCTACAAATGTTACGTACCTACTTTCAAGAACTTCACTGATAACAGCATGTGACACGTGACCTATATAATGTCGGTGGTTCAAGACTGACTTGAACTGTTGAATCGTGTTTGTGCACAGACACTGATCAATATGCGGGTGAGAACAAAAACGTATAGTGGTCGACAGACTGGCAGATCGCTATAACACACATACCACTCGAAGAGTTCGAACCACTGTCATTAACAGTAAAAGGATCACTGAATGTTACGTCAACATGGTCATCAGAAAGCTTCATCTCGTTCGTAGCTTTGTCAGAATCCTCATCATCACTTGCAAACGGGTCATGAGAGTCGATGTTGGGACTGTCATCTGCGTCATTCTTATCTAATTTAACGAGACAAACTAATGAAAACCCATATATAAAATACAAAAATAGCACTTGCATGACCAGAGGTGGTCTCATCTGCGATACAAAAAGAGGCAGGCTAACTTTAATTGACGTGTGCCTACCTTGAATATCTTCATCATCTGAAGTATTCTTCTGCGGTTTATCACCTGAAGCACGCTTCTGTTGTTCATCTTGTTGTGAAGATTCGATACCGCTGATAACATCTGTGAAAATACCAGTGTGATCCAAGTTCATGGCTGGCGATTTAGGATCATCGTCGGAGTTCTGCGTATTGTTAGTCCGATCCGAGTCTACAGAGTTCTTCATGGCATCGATCCCATGCATAATTTCGGCGAAAGTATTACCATGTGACGTTTCCTCACTGATAAGTAATCGGGAAAGAACACATGTATCTCAGAGGTTAAATTAATTAAATGGGAGAAGCTGCATGAAGAAAATCAAGAGAAGTCGATGCTTATACTCAAAGTACGTTGCAGGCAGTGCATGGTTTGAAGTCTTGGTTTAAAGAAAACAAATACCTCGGATTATCACTGTCATTTACTTCCCAAGGACTCTCTTTTTCATCACCCTGTAGTTCCGCATCGGTGCCTATCTCGGCTAATTCGGTGTCGAGAAAGCCCCTCTCAACAACCAAATCGGCACCCGGTAACAATTGCCTCGATGTTTGACTCAGCACTGGTGATAATGGTACTGAACTGGGGTTGGAATTTACTGGCGACGGAGACGATTGCGGATACGGAGATGGTGTATCGGTTCGTTCTGCATTAACACCCGATTCGTCAGGGTGCTCTCCCGTCGGCGAGGACGGTGAGCCAGTCAAATCAGTCTTGTCCTTTTGAGTGAGAAAACACAACGTAGAATTAGACTCCTGTTGCGAGGGAGTGTTATTTGCTGGACGTTGTAAAAGCCTACGTACATTCAAGAGTAACTTGAGTTGAGGCGCATTGTTCATTTGATTCATCATCGAAAGCAACCTTACGGAAATAAGAGTTGAGATTCATAATACCTCCTGGTCGGTCTGTCCGTCGGCAGCACCTGTCACGTTCGCGTTTTCATTGTTGCTATCAGCTTCAATCGATCGCGCCGAGATAACGGAATCGTCATCTACTCTTTTATCGACAGCGACGGAATCGGACTCCGGCCCAGAAGCCTGTTGTGATGAGATATTTCAGTTCAGTATCAAGGAAGCTGTAACGACGGAGAGCACTTCGGGGCAGATAATTGAAAGCCGCTATGACAATAAAGCATACCAGCATTTCAATCCTTGTCTCGTCATCTGCGATTTTCCTTTCGGCATCTGCTACACTAGCGTCTGTCGCAGCGACCTGATAACATAGCGTGTTGAAGTTTTACAATAATTTAATGATATTGTGAAATATTGGCATAATCCCAACCAAGCTCAGCTGAACTTCGCCAGCCTCGAAACTAATATAATCATGGATGCTTACGCAAAAATACAACATGCAAAACTCGGCTGAGAACAAAGAAGCTATGAAAATAATGGAAAGCTTATCCTATATACGCCCGGGCTAACGCTCCGTACAGATACAAAGCTTAATCAGAAGACCAAATCCGCGACTATAGTATATCACGTAACGAGTAGCATACCACGCTTTCGTATTTCGCCTGTTGGTCAGCCAATTTGATTTCGGTGTCTGCAAGACGGATAGCCATCATCGCCACCTATAACAGTGAGATTTTTTTATGAGTACATCAATTTCCGGTTATTTTAGTGCATTTGATCGAGCAAGTGCGATCAGATACATATAAAACTCAAACTTACTTTGGACTCGAATTCCCGTGCTCGACTTTCACTTCTCTCTATTTCGGACGCCAAATCGGCACAGCGAGCTTCCATGGACTCGATGTTCGCCTCCATCTCGTCTAGCTCGCTCTGGGTTCATTGAAGGTACCAACAGATAGTGGGGTTGCTGAAGCTTTCAACACTACAACATTGAAATATTTCCTAGATATCACTATAAAAATATGCTTTTGGTTTTAACAAGAGCCTTTCACGAAATTTTAAGATTCCACCATACTTGCAATATGCGACGGGCGAGAAAATTTTCAGCTGTATTGCTTGCTGTGACACTCATCAATATTCAGAGGGTTAACGGTATAAACCTGTAATCAGAAGAGATAGTACGAACATAGGCACTACCTGCTTCTGAGTTATCTCCGCCTCCATTTCTTTCAACTTAAGTTCCGCTTCGACACCGTTCTGATTTGCGTGTTCCAGCCTTTGCCTGGCATCCTCCTTATTGTGAGAGATTGCTTCCATTCTGCTCGCGCAAAGTGGAAAGATAAATCAATGAGTAAACTCGTATACAGATGGTCTCGCAGTAACTCTGCTACTATCGAACACAAGGTATCAGTATGCACGTGAATTTTATTATCTGACAGGCACAGTTTCAAGATTTACACTCCCTTACCTAGAGTCGATAAAAGCAAGCTCCGTCTGCTTGTCGTCGACAATCTTCTCGCTGGCTACGATATCATCTTCAATAGATTTGAGAGCACTCTCCTGGGCCTGAATCTATTATTGTAAACATACAAAGCTAGTCATACTTAGTATGTCTTATAGTGTCAGAATGGCACGTTGCTTAAGACGAAGTCAACAACCGCAAATCAACCCGAGTTTATACATATTGATTGCATAAATGCCCAGCATGATCTCAGCAACATTTACTATGAAATAGACGATGAAGTGTTGGTTGAAGCGAAAGGAAAAGAGATCACATACCTCCGCCAGCTTAATTTGAAGTGTGTCGTCCATATCGGCTACTTCTCTATCAATTATACTTTTCTGTTCATCTAGGGCCATCCTCTTGCCTGCAAGCTGTCTCGCCTCTTCCTCTGAATTAGAGACAAAGATATGCAGCCAGAGTTGGATATGTCATGAGCTCTAATGCCGACATCCGTGATATACTTGCATCTGTTGTGTGGTGGACTGTATCGAACACGCAATGATCAAATAATATTTAAACTGTACAAATCACATACCAGCGGCGGCCAAAGCTTTGGCTTTCTCTATTCGAAGACGATTTGCCTCTTTAATGTTTTCATCATCTTCAGCATCGGCTGCAACAAAATCGCAGGAAGAACTTATAAGCAACATGTAAGTTTGAGCCGGGCGTTGAAAACCCTTTTCCGTGTGCTATTATAACATGGGGAATGGAAATATGGACTCTGAATCACTTTTTAATAGTACTCATCCCTATCCCACACCCAAAATATGTAATTCAGATGAGAAAAAGCCACGGCCTCATCTGAACATTTACCTTCTTTAAATTCTGTGAGACCCAAGTTCTGTATTCCGACTTCACCAAACGATGACGTTGACGCTGGAGTGCTGAAAGGATCTGCAAATGACGACCGAACAGACGATGCATTACCAAAACCAACAGATGGCGATTCGTTTCTCAGTGATGAATCGGCGATAGAACCGCGAGCTGAAGTCATGTTTATGAATGGGTCCAACGCCCGTGGTGCAGGTTTAACCGTTGAGATAGTACTTGCCTGTCGAAAACATACGGATAAACGTGTCAGTCTGAATGCTTCAATCGCCGACCAAATAAGGTTAGATGCGCTATCCACTAAGCATTATTTGTCACTGTAGTCACAAGAGAGACCTAAAAATTCTGTAACACAACTTTCGTTGCAAAATGAGACAAAATCAACCCATAAATGAATGTCAACTTGTAACCATTATGTCCTGGATGGGTATAGGAAAACCTAAAAAGGGTAGCTCACGCCATGAAAGGCATTGAATTTTGCAGCTGCTACGGAAACCTTGCTATCATTATTGAACTCACCTTTCTGCACTCTGGTAATCCTGTCTCCGGTTCAGACGGTGGAGGGAGAGTTTCAAGATCGTCATTACTGGAGCTCGATTGTTCACCAGGCCCCGGAGACAGAGGCGGTGGTGGGAAGCTACCCATAGATCCTTGAGAGGGTGTGTCAACGAGCGCAGTATCCAGTTCTACATCACCCGCTGACAACTTGGGTATGTCACTTGTAAAGAGGGACCCGTGAGATGTAGATTGCAAAGACTCAATAGGCTTCTGGGAAGCTAAGTTGCTGAGTGATGTCATTGACGCGGCGGATGCACCAACCATAAAGGGTGCAGGAAACTGTGATGTCGGAGCAGAGTCAAGTGCTAGAGAGGATGGCAGGGATGCTGTGTCGAAATCCTTGGCACTCAGTCGCTGTTCTTGACCTCCGAGCATACTATCATATGCAACAGGAATCGAAGTAGTGGATGTCAATGGAAGCGAATGACCCAAATCGTTACCAGTGTAATCTTGTGATGCCACACTTGGTGACATTTCTCGATTCGTCGTCGACGGTGATGGTTGTATCGGCACTGGTGGCATCTGCCTTGAAGACATTCCCCTCGGTTGCATCGTGGTCACGGAAGACTTTGGCAGTGGAGACCCAATTCTCGAATTTGATAAACCATTCGCACGGAGACTTGGGGGTACGTAGTTTGCTGGCAATTCCGATGGCAGCACAGTATTTGGCTCTTCCTTTCTCTTCTTGATAATATACATTATCAATGCAAACTGTTCCCTGTTAAGTTGCCCCTTTTGATTGTTATCTACAAGATTCCATACATTCGCCAAATCGCTTTTAGGTAGGCCAGACTTTTCAAGAAGTGGTCTAGCCTGTCTGCCATTTAGATAGTCGGATTTCTCACCGTCCAACAGCATATCAAAATAAGTATCAGACTGTGCCTTCATTTCCGGACTGATTATCCAAGTGTCTTCTATTGGCGATTTTTTCTGAATTTCGTCAGACTGTGGCCTCTGTTGTAACCCCGACGGCATGCTAAACTGTGCATTCTCGGTAGGTACAGATGAGCTAGATCCCTGCATATTTTGTTGGAAACGATTTTCTGGTTCCGTGACTTGATCGGGCACCAAAGCGCTTGGCCCAACATCCTGGGCAATTTGGGTAGGCATTGACGGCTGAGTCGTACTGTGAGACGGTTGTGACCGCTCCGACATCACAGGTGAGTGAGTTGTCTCCTGCTGGGTAAGTTGATATTCAAACTGCAAAGTTCAGTAAGAAATTTGGTGTGTCCTCGTGTATTCGTCCACAAAATCGTAGCAATTACAATTTCAACATCGTCCACGCAATAAAAATTCATGTGAAAGTAATATAGCATACCGTGACACTAAGTGGTCGTCGTGATGGCGGAATCATGTCCGGGGGAAGAACACTCGGTATCGGTTTCTGTAATCAAAGAAGTTTCAGACATCAGAAAAGAGCACACATGTCGACACTCGTGCTCATTCATTTATCAATACAACCTCGAAACAAACGCCACGCATGAGCCGGTGTACTATATAGTGGCGCAAAGCTAGTGATACCTTGTCGAGCGCATTCTTCACCAACCGCATAGCAACTGCAAATTCTTCACGATTCAATTTTCCATTCTGATTGTTGTCACTCAATACCCAGATTTGGCTTAACGTAGAAACCGGAAGTTTCGACATCATCAAGAACTGAGAGGGAATGCAAGACGTTAAATTGTTCAGATACAAAGGCATGCCGCGTCGCAATTCCACATGACAGGTCGTATGGGAATGCGATGTCATGTTCTGGAATAATTTCACTGAAATACGGAGCAACACTGGAATATCGTTTAAAGGTGGAATATAATTTTGGATCACTGCTTGTAAAAACTTACGTTTCTGGCTTCTAATCCGGTGATCTCACCATTGTCTGATTTCATTTTACTGAAGTAAGCATCGCTGACGGACTTTTCTTGTGCTGAAATGGACCACGGAGCAGATACATCAAGTTGACTCGTTGAATTCCCCAAGCCAGCCTGTGCACATATACATCTAACATTAAAAGCTTGACATTCATTCGTTAATTGCCCAGCAAAATGACAACTTTGACTTTATCAATTTCACAATATACGGAATGTCCAGGGAATTTGGCGAAACTGCCGGAAAAGGCCTCAATCACGAAAAAGTTTGCACGACAATATATCAATTGGCACTCATTGCAGAGAATACGACCTTTAGAAGCATAGTGTTGATAACTGGTATTTTCTGTATTGTCGTGTGTATCCAAAACAGAAGTTGATAATCGACTTGTCAGGAAATAACATACCCTTGGAAACACGGGAGATTGTGGCTTTAGGTTTGACGCGGGACGTTGTACCGACATGGGTGGCACGCCACTATGCACAGATTGCTGCGAAAGTTGTTTTGTCAAAGCATTCTGTTGTAATTGGCCGTCGTGCATCGAATTTTGCGAAGCTTGTCTAAATATTGCGTTCTGTTTCTGAGAATAATAGGGTGATTCTTGAGTAGGCAGATCTTGAGCGGTTGGTTGCCGAGACACTCTATTCTGTACAGCAACTACTGGCGAGAGTGGTCTGTCCTGTGGTTGTTGTGGATAGCTATTCCGCTGTTGCTGTTGTTGTTGCTGATTTGGTTGTGTCTGTGGCTGTTGTTGCTGTCGCGGTTGCATGTGTGGTGGTTGTTGCTGCTGCTGTTGTTGCTGTTGCTGTTGCTGTCCCTGTGACTGTGATTGTTGCTGTTGCTGTTGCTGTGGTGGCTGTTGTTGTGGTTGCCGTCGCTGCTGCTGCTGTTGATTTGGCTGAAATTGCAGCTGTTGCCCGTGGGATTGATATGTGGACTGATTCGTTCCTTGACTCTGTCCCCTCCCGTCATCTCCTGAACCCGACACAGGTCGTTGCGAAACCCCTTGCACAGCATCTTGACTTTGTTTGCCTTGCAATTGGTTCTGAGGTGGCCTTTGCTGTTGCGGTTGTTGCTTCTGACCGCCGCCTAGCAATAAATTTGATTCAAACATAATCATATAGCGAGTCAGACAAACTTTAATACTTGTATAGTAACATACCAAACTATTATACCGCGATCAAGAAGTTCGCCATCACGTTTGAATTCGAAATACAGGTCAATAAGTACACAGGTGCATATATATACAT